CTTGGTGTTGGCTGGGCTCTGTGGCTCATGCCTGTAATCCCAGCACTTTGGGAGGCCAAGATCACCTGGGGCCAGGAGTTCAAGACCAGCCTGGCCAACATAGCAAGACCTTGTCTCTAAAATTAATAATAATTTATTTTATTTTTATTTATTTTTTGTTTTTTGAGATGGAATCTTGCTCTGTCACCCAGGCTGGAGTGCAGTGGCACAATTTCAGCTCACTGCAACCTCCACCTCCTGGGTTCAAGTGATTCTCCTGCCTCAGCCTTCCAGGTAGCTGGGATTACAGTTGTCTACCACCACATCTGGCTAATTTGTGTTTTTGTAGTAGAGACAGGGTTTTACCAAGTTGGCCAGGCTCTCTTGAACTCCTGAACTCAAGTGATCCACCTCAGCCTCCCGACGTGCTGGGATTACAGGCATGAGCCACCGCGCCCAGCCAACAATTTTTTTTTTTTGAGACAGTCTCACTCTGTCTCAGGCTGGGGTGCAGTGGCGTGACCTCGGCTCACTGCAAGCTCCGCCTCCCAGGTTCACACCATTCTCCTGCCTCAGCCTCCCAAGTAGCTGGGACTATAGGCGCCCACCACCACGCCTGGCTAAATTTTTTTTGTATTTTTAGTAGAGACAGGGTTTCACCATGTTAGCCAGGATGGTCTCGATCTCCTGACCTCGTGATCCGCCCGCCTCGGCCTCCCAAAGTGCTCGGATTACAGGTGTGAGCCACCGCTCCCAGCCTAATAATTTTTTAAAAATTCCTTGGCATCATCCTGGTTCCTCTATTTCCCTTGCACCCCACATCCAGTCCATCAGCAGATCCTGCCAGTTCTGCTTTAAAAATAAATCCAGAGGCCAGCTACTTCTCACCACCTCCCTGGTGACTCTCTGAATGTCTAAATCTGACCATGCTGCCTCTGTTCAAAGCCTTTCCAGGTTTTCACCCAAAGGCAAAGTCAGAGTCCTTACAATGACCTCCAACTTTAGGTCTCCAAAGACCCTTTCCTAACCCCCTCCCCTAGGCCCACCCTAGCTGGGAGCAGGTGTTGCCCTCAGGGCCTTAGCATCTGCCCTTCCCTCTGCCTGGAACTCTCTTCCCATCATCCCTGTGGCCTTGGTTCCAGTGGTGCTTTTCACCAAGTGAGTGCTGACCACCTCTGCTACCATCACTCCCCCAGCCCCGTGACTCTGGATTCTCTTAACTCTCTCTTTTTTTTTTTTTTAAGATGGAGTCTCACTCTGTTGCCAGGCTAGAATGCAGTGGCGCGATCTTGGCTCACTGCAACCTCCGCCTTCTGGGTTCAAGTGATTCTCCTGCCTCAGCCTCCTGAGTAGCTGGGACTACAGGTGCGCGCCACCATGCTTGGCTAATTTTTGTATTTTTAGTAGAGATGGGGTTTCACCATGTTGGCCAAGATGGTCTCCATGTCTTGACCTTGTGATCCGCCCGCCTCAGCCTCCCAAAGTGTTGGAATTACAGGTGTGAGCCTCCGCGCCCAGCTTCTCTTAACTCTTACATGCTGCCCCCATACAAATCTCATCCATGATAGGATGCACTTTTGTGCTTGTTTGTTTATGGACCCACCACGTCACTAGAATGTAAGCTCCACGAGGGCAAGGATTCCTGATGTTTGGGTTCACCGAGGTCCCCCTAGCAACTGGAACAACCTGTGTCACATGGTGAACACTCACTCTGAGACACAAGTCAATGCTGAGTGTGTGTGGCGGGGGGCAGAAAGCAGGGGGAGCTTGTGAGCAGAAAAACAGCCAAGTGCAAGCTCAGGAAGTTAAAGAAAGCTGTGGAGGCCGAGCATGGTGGCTCACGCCAGTAATCCCAACACTCTGGGAGGCCAAGATGAGAGGATCGCTTGGGCCCAGGAATTCGAGACCAGGTTGGGCAACAAAGCAAGACCTCACCTCTACAAAAAATAAAAAATGAGCTGGTGTGGTAGCATGCACCTGTGGTCCCAGCTGTTCTGGAGGCTGAGGCAGGAGGATTGTTTGAGCCCAGGAGTTTGAGACCTGCCTGGGCAACAAAAGGAGACCCGCCCCTGCCCTCGTCTCTAATGAAAACATGAAAAATGGCGGGCGTGGTGGCTCACGCCTGTAATTCCAACACTTTGGGAGGCCGAGGCGGGCAGATCACAAGGTCAGGAGATCGAGACTACCCTGGCTAACACGGTGAAACCCTATCTCTACTAAAAATACAAAAAATTAGCCGGGCGTGGTGGCACATGCCTGTAGTCCCAGCTACCTGAGAGACTGAGGCAGGAGAATTGCTGGAACCCAGGAGGCGGAGCTTGCAGTGAGCCGAGATTGCACCACTGCACTCCAGCCTGGGTGGCAGAGTGAGACTCCATCTCAAAAAAAAAAAAAAGAAAAAGTTAAAAATAAATTAACTAGGTGTGGTCCACACACCTGTATTCCCAGTTACTTGGGAGGGTAAGGTGGGAGGATCGCTTAAGCCCAGAAGTTCTAGGCTGCAGTGAGCTGAGATCACACCTCTGTACTCCATACCTCTGTACTCCCTCCTAGGTGATAGAGTGAGACCCTGTCTCAAAATAAACAAAACAACAACAACAAAAAAAGAAAGCAAGCTATGGGATCCAATCTGAGAGAATCGAGTGTGTGTGTTTGTGCGTAAGAGAGGGAGGGGAAGGAGGCCTCTTAAGCCTTCTTAATCCTGAAAATGGGGAGGAGGTCGTTTAAGCTTCAGTGCCAGAGTGACATGACCTAGTTTTCTATTTTTAGAGATGGGGTCTGGCTATATTGCCCAGGTTGGTCTTGAATTCCTGGGCTCAAGCCAGCCTCCTGAGTTGCTGGGACTACAGACACGGGCCACCCCACCTGGCTTGACCTGGTTTTTGTGTTCAGAAGATATATGTTGTTGTTCCAGGTGCCAAGGCCAGTGCTAGCACAGGGGTGGTGGAGCCTACTGAGAAATGGACACTGAACCCCAGTGTCTATCCTTCCATCTTGGAGCCCGTGCTTCCCATCCCACACAGCCCTGCTGTCTGGGAGGACCGTCTGCCCCTTGAGGTCACCTGCCCCTGGCCTTTGTGCCAGGACAGGCCTGCTGTGGGTGCAAGCCACGGGGCAAGAAAGAACACATCTGGGAGCTGGAAGGCCCAATCCCAGGGAAAGCATGTAGCCTGGGGCAGGGCACCAAGGAGTCTTCCAGCCCCCACCTTCTAAGGAAAGAAACGCCAGGCAGGTATGGCCTTAGGTAGGCCCCTTTTCCTTTTCAGATCACTGTCTGCCTGCCTGTCACTGATTTCTGTCCTGGCCCCACACTAATAGCTGCCATATATATATATATATTTTAAGAGATGGAGTCTCCCTAAGTCACCCAGGCTGGCTTTGAACTTCTGGGCTCAAGCGATTCTCCTGCCTTGGCCTCCCAAAGTGCTGGGATTACAGGTGTTATCCGTCATGCCTGGCAGCTACCATTTTTTAGCTTTAATGTGCACCAGCTCTGTAATCAAGTGCATCCTATATGTTCCTGCTAATTAACTCAACAGTCCTACAATGGTGGTTATTAATTGCTCTGTTTTACAAAAGAGGAAACTGGGGCTCTGAGAGGTTGGGGACCGACGCAAAGCCTTCAGTGCCCGTGGATACAACTGGGATGCAGGGAGCCAGTGGGCTGGGGGTGAAGTGACCCGGCAGGTGGAGGTGGTGGGGTACTTACCTCCATGATGGCTGCTGCTGGTTGGCTGCTCCTGCTGGTGACTGGCGTCCCACAGGAGGCCTGGGGCCTGGTGATGATGCTTGCCGGAGTCTGAGGGCCTGTTCCCTGCGGGGCTGGGGCCCAGGCCCCTCTCTGCAGAGCTGGAGTCTTCCTGCTCACTAGGCTCAAACTCTGGGATCTGGAACATGCTCTGGGCTATCAGGACAAGATGTTAGGTAGTCAAGGCACAGCTGGGGCCAACGGTGGCCCTGGAAGGCAGAGGCAGGTACCCTTGGCTCCCTCTCCCACCCTAGGGCCCCCAGGCCCGCCAGGCCTCCCGGGCCCTCATCTGTCTGCTGGGTCTGGCCTGGCAGGGAGCTGATGCTGTCGGCTCAGGGCCTCAATCTCCCCTCAGAACCCTGGTGGACCCAGGCCCCTACCCAGGCCCCGCCCCACCCGTGGTGACGGCGCACAGGTCTCACCCCAAGCCCGATCTCGAGGCCCCTGACCCGGGCCTGCCGCCTCCCTCCTGCACCCCGGGCTCCCGGCCCTAGTTGCTTGGGCAACGGGAACTGTCAGCGACCTGGCCCAATCACCTCTCGGAACGTCACTCGGGTAGGTCCAGAGGCGGGGTCAACCCGGCCCGGCCCCGCCCCCCCGCCGGACCTACGGCTACTCGCCCGCGGCCTTTTTTCTTCCTCCTGCGGCCCTGGTGCTCACATCCTCGCTGCCTCACACCTTGGACGTGTGTGGGAGCAGGAGAGGGATTCTCTGGGGTCCCCATTTGGAACCTGGAGACCCACTTCTGCCAACAAGTCCTTCAGCCCCTCTGGACCTTAGTTTCCCCCCCGTGAAGTGGGGATAGTGACAGCTCCCCCAGGAGCCAGTGAAAACTTTGTGAAGGGAGTGATTACTGCGGGCGAAGGCGCTTGGTACAGCCACAACTGAAGCTCAGCCGTCGGATGCGATTATTGTTGCTATTGTTACCGCTCCGCCTGGACTGGGTGCCCGGTCGGAAAGTCCCGCTCCCCGCTCCTCCTCCCAGGCGTGGAAGCTTCGCGCCGCCCGCCTCGGGGGACACCTCCCGCGCCACCTCGGGGGCACTGGAGATAAGGAGAGGAACCTCCTCCCTGGCTGGGATGGCTGCCCGGGCGCGGGAGGAGGGCCGGGAACCCGGTGAGGGTGGACCGTAGGGTCCGTGGGGACTTCACGCCTGGCAGGCGGCCGGCCAGGTGAGCAGGGCCGCGGGCGCGCCAGGGCGGGGGGCGGGCCCGCGCTGGGGATTCGGGGCTCCGCGGGTTCAGGCCCGGGGGCGGGGCCCGGGGGCCATCTTGGCTATGGGCGGAAGTTTTCTTCAGAGGCCGAGGGACGGGAATCCGTTGCCGCCCCCGGCTGGGTGGCACGACCCCGATTTGGGTATAGGAGAGAGGAGCGTGGGAACTGGCGGCCCCCCACACAAATTAAGGCGGACCGCCCGGGCACAGCCCACCCGGGGACCCCCTGGATGGGGCACGGACCCCGCAATTCGGCCGCCCTCCCGCCGCCTCCCGTAACCCTGGGCGCCCGCCAGCGGCGCAGCTCGCGCCAATTCTCGTACGGTTTCACGCCGGGTGCGGCGCTGGACTGCGGAGCCGGTCGGGCCCCTGCGCAATTTGCGTAGCGAACAGCGCCCGCGCAGGCGCAGGAGGGGGCGGAGCAGCGGGAGCCGGGGAGCCGGAGCCCCGGGTCCCCACGACCTGAGCCAGCTCTCCCATCAGCGGCCTGAGGACCTGGCATCCGCCTCCTCCCGCCCCTTGAGGCTGGAGAGTGGACGCGGTGGGGGTGGGGTGGGGCGGGGAGCAGCTTTCGAGAATTACGAGGACAGAAGGCAGAGGCCCTCCCCATCCGCATTATTGGAAGAGAGCCTCCCCCAGCTTGGGGAGGGGGAGAGCGGGGCATTGGGCGCCCCCTGCAGCGGCCGCTGCCCTGACCCGACGGGCATCGGCTGGCTCTCCCCCTCCAGCCAGGACGACACGAGCGACCGAGGCCAGGGACTCCTCTCCTTGGGCCTCTGCATCCCCCCATCCCTGGCTCTGGGGTAGGCCCAGGGAGGAGACACCCCCAACCCCCACCCAGTCTGCCCTGGAGAGAAGAGACTGCCCTTCCATGCCCCTGAGTGAGGGGCCTGGGGCCCAGGCTGCCCGTGTTCCCCAAGGGCAAGGGTCTCTCTGTTGAGGAGGAGGGGCCTGTCAGCCACAACTTGTTTCCTCCTCAGCGCCCCATCTCCCTCTCTGCACCCTGCAATTCCCACCCCTCCGTATTTATTTCCCTGGCCCTGCCTACAGCCCCTCCTTCTCTGTCTCCGGGATTCAGGCCTCCCTCCCTGACATGGAGAGTAACCTGTCTGGCCTGGTGCCTGCTGCCGGGCTGGTGCCTGCGCTGCCACCTGCTGTGACCCTGGGGCTGACGGCTGCCTACACCACCCTGTATGCCCTGCTCTTCTTCTCCGTCTATGCCCAGCTCTGGCTGGTGCTTCTGTATGGGCACAAGCGTCTCAGCTATCAGACGGTGTTCCTGGCCCTCTGTCTGCTCTGGGCTGCCTTGCGCACCACTCTCTTCTCCTTCTACTTCCGAGATACTCCCCGCGCCAACCGCCTGGGGCCCTTGCCCTTCTGGCTTCTCTACTGCTGCCCCGTCTGCCTGCAGTTCTTCACCTTGACGCTTATGAACCTCTACTTTGCCCAGGTAACCAACTGTGGTCCCGGGTGGGGGGTGGGAGGTGGCAAGCCTTAAGGACCCACAGGAGTGAAGGGCATCTCTGCTCCTAGGTGGTGTTCAAGGCCAAGGCGAAGCGTCGGCCGGAGATGAGCCGAGGCTTGTAAGTACTCGGGACACTGGTGGGCTCAACCTCCAGGTCAGGGGCAGGGGACAGTCCCATGTAGATCCCTTCCCACCTCTCAGGGCTGAGACAAAGACAACCCAGGGAATGTCTGTGGAAGAGCTTGGAAAAGTTAAAGCACCTGGCGCAGATGGCTCAGCAGAGGCGTTGCAGATCTGCAAGGCACAAGAATAGGAATGGTTGTGGTAGTGTGAGGGAGAGGAACCCAGTGGCATCCACCATGGAGGGTGAGCTGGAGGCTCCAGCCCATGGAAGCACCAAAGCCATATGCACTCCTGGGTGACCTGGGGCCGCAATGCCCTCGTCATTTGTACAGTGTCTTACGGTTTATAAAGAGCTTTCCCAGCCATCTTTCATTTGTACAATTTCCCTGAGAGACTACTCTCCTCCCTTGAGAGATGAAGAAACTGAGGCCCAGCCAGGTAAGGCATCAGGATCAAGGTCGCAGAGCTGGGGCTCAGACGGAGACTTCTGACTCCAGTTGGTGCGCCTTCCGAGGTACCACGGCTGTCAGTCACCTTCTGACCTCTTTGAGCCTCAGTTTCTCCATCTATAAGAATGGAGGAACAGGGCTCAGACTGGATGCCCTGAGTTCTGTGGACATTGGGGTTTCCTGCAGGAGGTGGGGCAGGTGGTGAGTGCTGAGGGCTGTTGAGAGCCCGGGCTGACTGTGCTGTGGCTGCAGGCTGGCTGTCCGAGGGGCCTTTGTGGGGGCCTCGCTGCTCTTTCTGCTGGTGAACGTGCTGTGTGCTGTGCTCTCCCATCGGCGCCGGGCACAGCCCTGGGCCCTGCTGCTTGTCCGCGTCCTGGTGAGCGACTCCCTGTTCGTCATCTGTGCGCTGTCTCTTGCTGCCTGCCTCTGCCTCGTCGCCAGGCGGGCCCCCTCCACTAGCATCTACCTGGAGGCCAAGGTAGGGCCGCAGCACTGATGCCCAGGTGTCCTTCGGGATCTCTGGGCAGCGGTTCTCAGGGTGTAGAGGAAGCTGGGAGCCTTCTCTCCCTGAGGGTCCTCTGTTGTTACCTGTGCCAGGGGACCAGTGTGTGCCAGGCAGCCGCGATGGGTGGAGCCATGGTCCTGCTCTATGCCAGCCGGGCCTGCTACAACCTGACAGCACTGGCCTTGGCCCCCCAGAGCCGGCTGGACACCTTCGATTACGACTGGTACAATGTGTCTGATCAGGTGGGCATACGCATGTCTGCCACCTCCTTAGTAGCCATGGCACCTTGGCCCCAGCTGGCCTGGGCCCTGTCCCACTGCCCCCTTGGCGTGACTGCAGACTGGCACCAGCCCCTGCCTTCCCACAGGCGGACCTGGTAAATGACCTGGGGAACAAAGGCTACCTGGTATTTGGCCTCATCCTCTTCGTGTGGGAGCTGCTGCCCACCACCCTGCTGGTGGGCTTCTTCCGGGTACACCGGCCCCCACAGGACCTGGTAAGGGTCTGCACCTTCCCCTGTGGGCCCAGTGGAGAGGGGCAGATGCTGGGAATCCTGGGTTGGCATCTGGGGATGGGCAGGGAGAATAGTGTGGGACAGGAGTAAGTATCGATGATGGCTTCCTCCTCCAGAGCACCAGCCACATCCTCAATGGGCAGGTCTTTGCCTCCCGGTCCTACTTCTTTGACCGGGCTGGGCACTGTGAAGATGAGGGCTGCTCCTGGGAGCACAGCCGGGGTGAGAGCACCAGGTAGGAGCCATAGCACTGCCTCAGTACCCCTGCCCCCCTCCACCCACTTGGCTCCATCGAGCTATGGGGGATTCAGAGAGCTGGGTCTTGCCCTTCCACCCCTGCCATGGCCTTTGCTTCCCCATCTGTACTAGGTGAGGTCCCCTGGGTTCCTATGGCTAAAGCCTCCATCCCTTGCCTAGAGATGTACTTTGCCCTGGGCCCCGAAGGTCTAGGTCACAGGGGTTCTGTTCTAAGCCTCTGTTCCTCCTGCAGCTCTTGTGACTGTGGCCCTGGTCACTGTCCTGAGACTGACCCTGTTTCTCTGCTGCAGTATGTCAGGCAGTCTAGGCTCTGGGAGCTGGTATGGCGCCATCGGGCGTGAGCCGGGCTGGTATGGGGGCAGCCAGACGAAGACCACTCCTCTGCTCTTCTCCCAGGTGCCAGGACCAGGCGGCCACCACCACAGTCTCTACTCCACCCCACAGACGTGATCCCCTTCCCTCCCCCACAGAATACCCAGGTCCCAGTCCCCGTCACCCTAAGCCCCTGTGCCAAGTTTGCCACTTCTTGCCCAGGATCCTGGGGGTCGTGGCTGCCCCCTCCTCTGGCCAGCTCCTTGCTGCTCCTGTCATAGTGAGCTTGTGCCGTCCCCCTAGGATGGGGGCGTGGCCCTGGCTGCCAGATGCCCACAGCACCCTGGCATGACCTGCCACCTCCGCTTCCACACCGGAGCCAGCTACCTCTCCTGTGCCTGCCACTCAATAAACAGTGTCTGCGCCCCACAGTTGTTCACCTGTCTGTCATCTGCCTTGTGTTCCTGTCACTTTTGCCTGTTTGGCCTAAGGCTGAACAGACAGTGGCCCTTGAAGTGGGCTGCTAGGCTGGGCAGGGGCCACTTACCCCATCAAGGCTGGTGGGCTGGGAGAGGAGGGGCCTGCAGTTTGCAAGGGAAGGAGACCACACAGGCCTTTGTTCTCAAAGCTCTGCTGGCCCAGAATTGCCCCTCTAACTCCAGATCCCTCTCCACTTGAACAGTTCCTACTCTTTCCTCAAGACCTGCGTCAACTGTTACTATCTTTAGGAAGCCTTCTGTCTTCTGGTCAAGGGATGTGGCCCCTCTGCTAGGCTCCACAGCCCCACATTACTGCTGTGGTTATGTGGCTACTGAGGATTTTTTTTTTGGAGACAGGGTCTGTCACTCAGTCTGGAGTGCAGTGGCACGATCATGGCCCACTGCAGCCTCAACCAACCAGGCTCAAGCAATCCTCCTGCCTCAGCCTGCCTAATTTTTTAATTTTTTATTTTAGAGGTGGGGTTTCACCATATTGCCCAGGCTGGTCTCGAACTCCTGGGCTCAAGCAATCCACCCACCTCAGCCTCCCAAAGTGCTGGGATTACAGGCATGAGGTACCATGCCTGGCAGCTACTGAGTCTTAATCCCAATGGATTAGACTTTCTGGAGGCCCTGTTTGCCTATCACCACCCCAACCTGGTCTTTAGGAGCCAGGAGTTAGTCCAGGGCTTACCGGGGAGTTGGCGTGGTGACTGAGCAGCCCCCATCTTCCTACCAGGGTGTGGGTTTGCACAGATGTACAGGTGGTCCCCTAGCTGTGCCCTCCCAGTGGCCCCCTTCTCCACTGTCCTTAGTAGCATAGTCACTGCTCTCTGCTCCCATGGTCCTGGCAGGTCTGTCTGATGGCTAGGAGTCCTTTACTAGAGGGTCTGTCCCCTGCCCACATAGGTGGTTGTCCCAGCTTTTCAGAGTTCCCTTGGCTTATCGCTGGACCTGCCTCAAAACCCTTTACTTGGGACTGTCGTGGGCACCAGGCCCTCAGGGCCTCCAGAGAGGGCATCTGAGACTCAGAGAATCAGCTTGAAGCTGGACAATCACTTTTTGTGGAAAGGAAAACTCCTAACGTTTGTGGGGCACTTTATTGCGTGTGCTAGGTTCTGTTTTGAGGATTTCTAAACACTGGCCTCCTTAATGCCCAGAACAGCACCCCGAAGTGATGATTAATCACCCCTTTTCTGTAAGTGGGAACAGGGACACTCCAGAGTTTGGAAACCTGTCCAGGTTCCCTACCAGTAGGGGGTGGTCAGCCTCAAAGCCCAGCCTGAAAGCCATCCAGCATGAGGGCTGAGGACCCCAGCAGGCACCAGAGGGTCTTTGGAGAGGTCACAGGTTGTCAAGCGGGTGAGAACAGGGCAGGGCAAGTTCAGGACCAGCCAGGGCCTGGGTGTTCAGGCAGTGGGAGAGCGGATGCCGGCACCAGTGCCATGCTGGGATCTGCAGGCAGCTCCAGCCACAGCCTTCTGGGGCTGATTTCTGGTCATGGAAGTGAGAACCAAAAGCTGGGGCTGGGAGCACCCTGGAGGGATAGCCCGGGAGCAGGTAGAGGGCCAAAACTGGAGTGGGGGCAGGAAGTGCTCCAGCAGTGACTCCCCAGAGGTGGGTCCCAACCTCCATGTCGGCCAATTCCAGGTGACCCCACCGGGTTTCCCCCACCCCTTTGTCCCGCGGAGCCCCTCCCTCATGAGTGCTGAGCCCAAGGGCCAGGCTGTCCCCAGGGGCGGAGAGTTGCGGGCCCTTCCCGATCCAGTAATGGGCCTGGGAGATGCCAGATTAGCGTGTTGCCTGTCCGGAGAGGTGGGCCAGCTGATGCCCAGGTCAGGGCCCTGCCGCTGGCCACATTGGGCTCCGGTCCAAGGCTAGAAGGCTGGCCCCAGCTGCAACCCCTTTCCGGCTCCTCTGCCACCCACCTCCCGGGGCTGGCCAGCATTGGGGAGCCGGGCGGCCGCAGGTAAAGGGCTTGGGGCGGCGCCGGCGGCGAGGGCGCTGCAAGGAGGGAAGAGCGGCGCCGGAGGGGTTAACCGCGGGAGGAGGGGGGCTTCTGCCGGCGGGAGGGGGGTCCCAGCCCCAGCGGCCGCCCGCTCCGCCCCTGCCGCCTCCGCGGCCCAGTCGGCACCGGCGAGGCCGTGCTGGAACCCGGGCCTCAGCCGCAGCCGCAGCAGGGCCGACAGTAAGTGTGGGGCGGGCTCCGGTGCGCGGGCAGGACTCCGGGGCAGGGGCGCCCCGGGGGCGACTGGCCAGGCGGGGTGCCCACCTCCCACGCGTGGGCGCCTCAGGGAGTGGTGTGGCCGCCGGTCCCGCCGCCCGCCACGCTCCGAGGCGTAGCTGTGGGGACGCGAGGGAGGCGGTGGGAGCGAGCTGCGGGCGCTGCGCGGTGGCCCTGCGGTCTGGCGTGTGCACGCGAGTGTCCGCACGCATGTGCGTGGGCTCTGGGTGCCCTGGCGCGGCCGGCACGCCCATGGGGGCCGGGGGTGCCGGGGCGTCTGCGGAGTGTGCAGGTGGGGTGCGTGAGTGCAGCGGGGCGGTGCGGCGCTGCAGCCTCGGGGTGGAGCGTGGGCGCGCGGGTCTTTGTGCCCGCGCGTGGCGGCGCGTGCCGGGGCGTGTGTGCGCGTGGGCGCCGCCGCCAGCTGTCAGGGACTGACAGCTGTCCGGGGGACTGCCGCCCCGGTGTGGCCTTTGCGGACCCCCTCCCCTGCTTTTTCCGGGAACTGGGCGTCCCCCGCACCCCTCCTCGCCTGGGTGCGGGACCCACCCCTGGGTTCCTTGAAAGCCCGGCGGGGCGCGGGGGTACCCTGGAGGGCCAGCCGGGAAGCAGGGCGAGGCGAGAGGGGACGGAGAAGCCGCGGAGATGCTGTCGCAGCCGCAGCCGGCGAGCCGGGACCCACCATTCCCCTGTCCCCGCCCTACGCTGTCCGGCCTCTCCTCCGGGTTTCCCTTCGGACGTCTCTGAGCCCCCCTCAGCCTTCTCCTCGAGGGCCAGTTCCCCACACCCCCCAAACCCCCCACATTTCCTCACTCGCCCCACTTCCCCCTAGCCAGGCTTAGGCTCTCTTTCGGCCTCCCACTCGCCTTCCTTTCCCTTCCCCGTGCCCTCCTCTCTTTCCTCATCGACAGGGGCAGCGGAGGTAAGGGGAAGGCAGGAGATAGGAGGGGGACTGGGTGTGTTCAGTCAGAGGGATATCTGTGGACAGTGCGGCTGGGGGCTTCATGGATCTTTGGGTGTGTAGGGGATCGAGGAGAAGGGTGTGGATGTCAGGCCAGCTCAGTGACCCCAGCATCCCTGGTTTTGCCCGCAGTGACGACAGCTCCCCAGGAGCCCCCTGCCCGGCCCCTCCAGGGGGGCAGTGGAGCTGGCCCGGCGCCTGGGCGCGCCATGCGCAGCACCACGCTCCTGGCCCTGCTGGCGCTGGTCTTGCTGTACTTGGTGTCTGGTGCCCTGGTGTTCCGGGCCCTGGAGCAGCCCCACGAGCAGCAGGCCCAGAGGGTGCTGGGGGAGGTCCGAGAGAAGTTCCTGAGGGCCCATCCGTGTGTGAGCGACCAGGAGCTGGGCCTCCTCATCAAGGTGCGTGGGTGGGCCTCAGCCCCTTCAGCTGTCACCCATCACCCCTGGCACTAGCTGCGTGCCAGTGAGGCCCTGTACTGGTGCTGCTTTCAGATCAGTATCCCTGAGGACAGGGTGCAGCCGGAGGCTGTGGGACAGAGGCTGGGGTCCAGGTCTCTGTGTTTTCAATAGGGCAACAGTGGGGTCATTTGTTTTCCTTGGAGAGCCTGGCACAGGACTGTGAACCTAGATTGTGTCCTTCAGGGTGTGATGGTGGTGGGATGAGGGGAAAATGAATGAATGAATGGCCATAGCACAAGGGCTATGTTACATTTGCACAGGTCTCACTCACCGGTCTAGTTGCCACATAAAATCCAAGACTCTCATTTAAATGTGAATTACAGTTAAACCACAAATGAATGCCTTTTTTTTTTTTTTTTTTTTTTTTGAGACGGAGTCTCCCTGTGTCGCCCAGGCTGGAGTACAGTGGTGTGATCTCAGCTCACAGCAACCTCGGCCTCCCAGATTCAATTGATTCTCCTGCCTCAGTCTCCCAAGCAGCTGGGATTACAGAGATGCAATGCATCACCACGCCTGGCTAATTTTTGTATTTTTAGTAGAGATGGGGTTTCACCATGTTGGCCAGGCTGGTCTCAAACTCCTGACCTCAAGTGATTCACCCACCCCAGCCTCCCAAAGTGCTGGTATTGCAGGCATGAGCCACCATGCCTGGCCCACAAATGCCTTTTTATTTTTTTATTTTTATTTTTTTTTATTTTTATTTTTATTTTTATTTTTATTTTTTGAGACGGAGTCTCGCTCTGTCGCCCAGGCTGGAGTGCAGTGGCGCAATCTCGGCTCACTGCAAGCTCCGCCTCCCGGGTTCACGCCATTCTCCTGCCTCAGCCTCCTGAGTAGCTGGGACTACAGGCGCCCGCCACCTCGCCCGGCTAGTTTTTTGTATTTTTTTTAGTAGAGACGGGGTTTCACTGTGTTAGCCAGGATGGTCTCGATCTCCTGACCTCGTGATCCGCCCGTCTCGGCCTCCCAAAGTGCTGGGATTACAGGCTTGAGCCACCGCGCCCGGCCGAATGCCTTTTTAATACAAGTCCATCCCGTGCAGTATTTTTGTTTGCTAAAATCTGGCAACCCTACCTACACCGGTTCCCATACTTTTTTTGGAGTCATGTGTCTTAGAAAAACCCAAGAACACAGTGAACACACCCCATCCCCCTGGAAAAGTGTGCATATGAGCGTGTGCAGGTGATTTGGGAGGGTTCCAGGATCCATGCCACCAGGGATGCCAGGTCAGGTGCCCCTTCCCCCTAGGATGCATGCTTACCATGTGGGGAGAAGGGGAGAGCGTCAGGGTTCCCTGAGGCACTTCTGGTTAGACTCCAACCATAGACTCAAGAAAGTTTTGGGCTGCAGCCTTCTGGGGTTCAGTCAGGCAGGCACCTCTGTTGCTTTCTCTGATTTCGGAGTTACTGTCATACAAAAAAATGAAGACCTAGCTTTAATAAATTAATGTCTATTACTTGAAATTGAAGAGTACCCTTTGTTCCCTGCCTGTTCTTTGTGGAGGGAGGGGCCATTGGCACGGAGGCCTCAGTGTTCCAGCTGATTCTCAAGGCAGCAGGACTCAGGGCAGAGATGTGTGTGGGGTGGGGTCAGGACACAGACCACCTGATATCGTCTCTGACACTTCCAGAATGCCAGTGGAGGCTCAGAGAGGCCTGGGAAGAATGTGTCTGGCCAGACCACAGGGCAGAGGGAGGGAGGGGAGGGAATCTGACCTAGTTTGTCTTCACAATGGAACTGCTTTTTTCCTGGATAAGAAAAAGGAAGAAAAGGAGAGGCAGGACTGAGAAGGGTGGGTGACAGCCACTTTATTTCTCTTTCACAGTAGGATTCACTCCCTGAATTAGTTGTGCAGCTATTATGCACCTACTGTGTGCTAGGTGAAGTGTTATACGCCAAGGGGATATTGGGGTGGATCAGACACAGGGTCTGCCTTGGAGGGCGTCACATCTAGGGGAGGGGAGAGATCCATGGTCAGACAGATCACTGTAGGATTCAGTGGAAAGGAAGTTTCCTTCTTTCTGTTAAGCACCAATTGTGCTAGGCCTTGAGCTAGGTGCTGGGGACCAGGAGGGAGATGGCAGTGGCCTGAGGGATGACCTGGTGATTGAAACACACCAGGAGAAAGGGATAGAGAATAGAGATGAGGGGCAAGAGATGCCCATGTGGAAAGACAGCATGGGCAAAGGCGTGGAAGCTGGAAAGTTCCGGAGCATTTTGCAGAACCTGGAGTTAGCAGATGCCTAGTCATTTGAAGCAAAAATTAGAACACACAGGATGACACAGGATTTTTCCCTTAAGTCGTGAATTTATTGGAAAAGGGTTGCAAAATACACATTAAATCACTTTTAATTAGCTCTTTCACTTCTTGCTTTTATTAAAAATTATTACAGGAAATGCAATCATCTCAGAAAATCTGGGGGGAAGGTTGCTGTAACATGGGGTGCCAAATTGGAGTCCCAGGGACAAGACTAGGGGAAGGGAGGTGGGGACCAGTTTGAAAAAAGGGCTTCAATGCTGGGCTGGGGAGTTTAGGCCTGCAAGGAGTGGGGAGCCATGGAGGGCGCTGAGCAGTCCCTTTAGGAAGATCAGTTGGGACTGAGTCTTGCTAATGAGGACTGCAGTCAGGGAGAGAAGAAGTGCTTTATGATATGCCCCACAGACACCATTCTTGTGCCTTGGCACTGCTGCTTGGGGAAGAGTCTCTTTGACTTCCTCTCACCTAGGGCAAGCACTCTCAAAATAGTCCCTGCCCGTGGGAGCTGCATGCTGGCGAGAGGGAGACATCCAAATAGGGACATTACGTTCATTTAATAATATGTATTGGCTGGTCTGAGTACAGTGGTGTTGTTTACAACCAATTGATCACAACCAGTTACAGATTTCTTGGTTCCTTCTCCACTCCCACTGCTTCACTTGACTAGCCTTAAAAAAATAGTAATACTTACTGAGAGGTGCTCAATCAACATTATTTACACTGCAGCACAGGGTTTGGCTTGGACGTCGGCAGGGTTGGGGTGTGTGTGTTTTTGTGTGTGCGTATAAACTTTCTAAAAATTGGAAGCAAAATTTTGTGGCACATAAACCTTCCTGGAGAGAAAGGCCCTAGCTTTCATGAGATTTTCTAAGGAAAGGGACTCAAATTCAGCTTCCATAGGTGCAATGGGAGGGTGGGTTTGGAAAGCTAGAAACACAGGGTGTGGTCACTGCTTGGGAACTTAACAGTCAGTGCTTACTTTGTTGCAAGTTCACAAAAAATCTGAGAGGCAGATGCTGTCATCAACATCCCCACTTGAGACTTGTAGAAGCCGAGGCCAGACAGTTAACTTGCCCAGGGTCCCACAGCATAAACATTTGAAGCCAGGCAATCTGGTCCCAGGTCTGCTCCTGACCATGGTAAAAGTGGAAATTTGTTGTCTGAAGTTAGGGGCCAGATACCAAAAATGTTTCTCAGACATTGTAGAGGTCAAACAAACTTGCCTGCAGGTAGACTAGACCCAGTTTGCATCTTCTGCTGTAAGGGACTGCCTCCTGGGAGACCAGAGAGAGGGGAGAACAGGGAGGAGCAGCGGGGAAGCCACCCTAGAGACTGGAGGGGCCACAAGTTGGCCTAGACAGGAGGGAAGAACTGAAGCTCCTCCTTCTATACCTTATCCTGCAGGAGGTGGCTGATGCCCTGGGAGGGGGTGCGGACCCAGAAACCAACTCGACCAGTAACAGCAGCCACTCAGCCTGGGACCTGGGCAGCGCCTTCTTTTTCTCAGGGACCATCATCACCACCATCGGTGGGGGAGGGGATTGGCATGTGGGGGACGGGCAAGGAGCTTCCTCATGGGGGAAGGTGCAGGGAGATGGAGGGGTCCCAGGTGGCCCCTAGACTTCCTGCATCGCTCCTCTGCCCAGGCTATGGCAATGTGGCCCTGCGCACAGATGCTGGGCGCCTCTTCTGCATCTTCTATGCACTGGTGGGGATTCCGCTGTTTGGGATCCTACTGGCAGGGGTTGGGGACCGACTGGGCTCCTCCCTGCGCCGTGGCATCGGTCACATTGAAGCCATCTTCTTGGTGAGCTGCTCCATGCCCTGCCTGCCCTTGTGCTGGCCTCCAGCTACCCTTCCCCATGTCCCTGGCACATGAGTGCCCCCCCTCCCCCCGGCCGCCCGCGGACCCTAAGCCTCTCACCACAGGCTCCTGGGGGCGGGAGTGGAGAGTATGGGAGTGGGGATTGTTGGTGTCTCCTGGGTCCTGTCTACTGCCCCTCCCCGCAGAAGTGGCACGTGCCACCGGAGCTAGTAAGAGTGCTGTCAGCGATGCTCTTCCTACTGATCGGCTGCCTGCTCTTTGTCCTCACGCCTACGTTCGTGTTCTGCTATATGGAGGACTGGAGCAAGCTGGAGGCCATCTACTTTGTCATAGTGACGCTTACCACCGTGGGCTTTGGTGACTATGTGGCCGGTGAGGCCGCCCTTCTTGTGCTGCACTTTCCCATCTACTTTATTCCTGATCAGGGGCTCTGCACTCCCGCCTTTCCCTCCAAATCCATGTGGTTGCTCTAACGCCTGCCTCCATCATGGAATGCACCATCACAGCCTTGCACACACACCAGCGCCTTATGCACACTCACATTCTTGTATGCTTGAGTCCCATGCATGCTCACACATATATTAAACACACCCCTCGCATGTGTCACATTCTTGCACAGGAGCGCCCCTTCTTGCATGCTTTGATCTTGCACACTTTCAACTCATGCACACCACTCATTTTCCTGCCTCCACTCACACACTCAAGCACATACCCATTGCCCTAGGGAGCGCAGGTCCTCTCCAGGAGCTGGGAGGGGGACACTGAACCAGAGCTCACAGGCTTGCCCCACAATCCAGTTCTTTCTGCCTTTCCTGGTGGTATCCCAGGCGCGGACCCCAGGCAGGACTCCCCAGCCTATCAGCCTCTGGTGTGGTTCTGGATCCTGCTCGGCCTGGCTTACTTCGCCTCAGTGCTCACCACCATCGGGAACTGGCTGCGAGTAGTGTCCCGCCGCACTCGGGCAGAGGTAGGCGCCCAGGGTTGGCACTGCGTCTGTGCACTGTGGTGCAAATGTGCTGTTCCCTAGCAGGGGGTTGAGCAGGTTGTCTCCTATCCAGGGTGTGGGCTCCTGAGGCAGGGGCTGAGTGAGCCTCTGTGTGTGCCTCGCAGGGAACAGAGGGGTATATGTTTGTGGGTAACTTCACCACCTCTTCCCTCATGGGTAGGATTGCCAGATTTAGCAAATAAAAATGCAGAAAGCCAGCTGGGGCAACATGGTGAGACCCCGCCTCTAGAAAATACACAAAAATTAGCCCTGCGTGGTGGTGTGTGCCCAGCTACTCGGGAGGCTGAGATGGGAGGATCACTTGAGCCAGGGGAGGTCGAGGCTGCAGTGGGTCATGATTGCACCGCTGCACTCCAGCCTGGACAACAGAGTAAGCCCTGGTCTCACAAACAAACAAATAAACAAAACAAAACAAAACAAAACAAAACTCAGTTAAATTTGAATTTCAAATAAATGAAATTTTAATTTGGCCGGGCTCGGTGGCTCATGCTTGTAATCCCAGCACTTTGGGAGGCTGAGGCGGGTGGATCACGAGGTCAGGAGTTCGAGACCAGCCTGGCCAACACAGTAAAACCCTGCTAAAAATACAAAAATTAGCTGGGCGTGGTGGCAGGCTCCTGTAATCCCAGCTACTTGGAAGGCTGAGGCAGGAGAACTGCTTGAACTGGGGAGGCAGAGGTTGCAGTGAGCCAAGATCCGCCACTGCACTCCAGCCTGGATGACTGAGCTAGACTCCTCTCAAAAAAAAAAAAAAAAGAAAAAGAAAAAAATTTTATATATATATGTATGTATATATATAACAGCATGTCCCAAATATTGCACGAGATATAGTTATGCTAAAATTTATTTGTTATTTCTCGGAAATTCACATTTAGCCGGGCAATTTGTATTTTGCCACCTTTCTGGGAGCACCCAGTGGAGGAGCCCTTCCATCCTCGGGGCTGGCTGAGGCTAGAGGACCAGGCAGAAAAGAGGGTTGGGGGTTGATCCCTGCTGGTGAAGGGGCAGGTTCCTGGGGGGTCGCGGAGGGGGTCCAGGACCTCTAGTCGAGGGCTGCTTTCCCTCTCCGTGCAGATGGGCGGCCTCACGGCGCAGGCTGCCAGCTGGACTGGCACGGTGACGGCGCGCGTGACCCAGCGAGCCGGGCCCGCTGCCCCGCCGCCAGAGAAGGAGCGGCCACTGCTGCCTCCACCGCCCTGTCCAGCGCAGCCGCTGGGCAGGCCCCGATCCCCTTCGCCCCCGAAGAAGGCTCAGCCGCCTTCCCCGCCCACGGCCTCGGCCCTGGATTATCCCAGCGAGAACCTGGCCTTCATCGACGAGTCCTCGGACACGCAGAGCGAGCGCGGCTGCCCGCTGCCCCGCGCGCCGCGAGGTCGCCGCCACCCCAATCCCCCCAGGAAGCCCGTGCGGCCCCGCGGCCCCGGGCGTCCCCGAGACAAAGACGTGCCGGTGTAGGGGCAGGATCCCCGGCCCGGGCCTCTCAAGGGCTTCGTTCCTGCTCTCCCCGGCATGCTTGGCTTGTTTGACCAAAGAGCCCTCTTTCCACGAGACTGAAGTCTGGGGAGGAGGCTACGGCTGCCTCTCCGCCGTCCCCCGGCCCTTTCCTCACTTCCATCCATCTCCAGACCCCCCACGGCTTTCTGTGTCGCTGCCCCGGGCGGGCGTGTCCCTCACAGCACCTCACGACTGTGCCTCAAAGCCTGCATCAATAAATGAAAACGGTCTGCACCGCTGCGGGCATGACGCTCCCGGACGCTAGTGAGTGTGGAAGTGCTTTCCTCGGGCCACCGTGGGGGCACATCTAGCCTCCCGTGGCCCCCAGGTCGAGGGTCCCCGGGCACCCAGGTCGGTCAATTCTCCGCCCTCTCGGCTGGGCTCAGGCCCGCGTCTCTGCCTGGAGGCTGCTGGGTAGGGTCCCGCGTGGGGATCAGCCGGGATGGGCTGTGCGTCTCCAGCCTCTGCACACACTTTGGGGGGTGGGGTGCGGGGGTGGAGAGGCAGGGGAGAGAGGATGGCATCTCGCGTGGCGGGCTGTCGTTTGAACTCTCCCGGCGCGAGAGGACCTGCCCCGCCCCCTTCCTGGAGCGTTGACCCCCTTCTCGTCCCGAGGCCTGTGGCGTCTGGGTCCGTTGGGGCAGAACCATGGAGGAAAAGCCTTCGAAAGTAAGACCTCTCCCCGGACCCCTTACTCTGTCCGCTCCCAACCCACCTTTGGTCCGACTCGGGTCCCTGGCGCGATTTCTTACTCAGCCTTGGCTTCCCGCAGCCCCCACCCAACCAACCCCACGCTCTACGGGATCCCCGCCCGGACCCGGCTCAGATCCCCAGCCTGCTCTTCCTTCCGGCTCCAGCCACCCGCGACCCTTGGCTCCCTCCTTGTATGTGGCCCACAGGTGTCGCTCAAGTCTTCCGACCGCCATGACTCGGACAAGGAGAGCGTGCACAGCGACATTCGGGACCTGTGGACCACGACCACGCTGTCCCAGGCACAGCTGAACATGCCGCTGTCCGAGGTCTGCGAGGGCTTCGACGCGGAGGGCCGCAGCATTAGCAAGACCCGCGGGTGGTACAGTCCGGGGAGCCGCTCGTTGGACCTAGGGGACAAGGCCAGCCACAAGCCGGAGGAAATGGACGAGCACGCGCTGGTGGAGCTAGAGTTGCACCGCGGCAGCTCCATGGAAATCAATTCGGGGGAGAAGGACACCACATCCCAGATCGAGGCCGGTCAGTGTGGCCTCGCCAGGCCGTGGGCGCTCGCGGGGCAATAAGCCAGCCGGGGACTCAATTTCTGGAGCTGTAAAATGGGGGGAAGCTGATGGGATCCAAGTTTCTAGGATTCCCTGGGAGAGGCGCCAGCGCGAATCTTTCGCCCTTTAAATCCGCCAGGCATTCTTGGAGCGCCCCCTCCCGGGCAGGCGTTGTAACAGGCCTTTCAGTCGTGGCGCGCAGAGTCCGGCGAAGGACGCACCAAATAAATTGCGCAAAGATCCCGCGGTAGGACCTGCGGGGTTTTCTTGTTGTGTTTTGGAGACAGGATCTCGCTCTGTCGCCCAGGCTGGATGGAGTGCAGTGGTGCGATTATAGCTCACTGCAGTTCAAGTGATCCTCCCGCCTCCCGCCTTTTTTTTTTTCTTTTTTTTTGAGACGGAGTCTCGCTGTGTCGCCCAGACTGGAGTGCAATGGCACGATCTCTGCTTACTGCAACCAACGCCTCCCGAATAGCTGGGATTACAGGCGTGCGCCACCATGTGCGGCTAATTTTTGTATTTTTAGTAGAGACGAAGTTTCACCATGTTGGCCAGGCTGGTCTCAAACTCCTGACTTCAAGTGATCCGCCAGCCTCGGCCTCCCAAAGTGCTGGAATTACAGGCTTGAGTCACTGCACCCGGCCTTTGTTTTTTAGAGACGGCGTCCTGCTTTGTCGCCCAGGCTGGAGTGCAGTGTTGTGATCATAGCTCACTGCAGCCTCAAACTCCTAGGCTCAAGGGATCCTCCAACCTCAGCCACCCCCACCACCCTGAGCTGGGAGGACAGGCCGGCACCACCCTGCTCAGCTAATTTTTTATTTTTTTGTAGAGAAAATTTCGCCATGTTGCCCTGGCTGGTCTCAAACTCCTGGGCTCAAGTGATCTTCCTGCCTCGGATTCCCAATGGATTACAAGTGTGAGCCACCATGCCCAGCAAGACCTGTGTTTTTAATGGAATCATCCCGCCTTGTCTTATGATTTGCGCTGGTTGAGGAGGTGTATGTCTTTCCATTAGTCAGTTGCTGGTTACAATTTCTAAGCCTCTACTACACGCTGGACACTGTCTGGCACCCCCTCAAACCACTTCATCAGAGAGTCAGAACCAATAACAGTATAACAATGGTCACATATTGAGCACTTGCTGTGTGCCAGGCACGGGGCTTCCCCCAGATTGTCACCTTCAAACTGGATTGTCACCTTCAAACTTCACAACCTGCATAAAGAGCTATTTTCTTTTCTTTTCTTTTTTTTTTTTTGAGTTGGGGTCTCACTCTGTTGCCCTTGCTGGAGTGCAATGGCGTGATCTCAGCTGACTGCAACTTCCGCCTCCCCGGTTCAAGCAATTCTCCTGCCTCAGCCTCCTGAGTAGCTGGGATTACAGGCGCCTGCCACTATGCCCAGCTAATTTTTGTATTTTTAGTAGAGATGGTGTTTCACCAGATTGGCCCGGCTAGTCTTAAACTCCTGACCTTGTGATCTGCCCACCTTGGCCTCCCAAAGTTTTGGGATTACAGGCATGACCCACCACTCAGCCAAGAGCTATTTTTATTACCCCATTTTACTGATGAAGAACTTGAGGGTCAGAGAGTGTCAGTCACTAGTCCTAAGTGTCACACTGTGGGGCAGTCAGAACTGGAACCAGGTGGGTGGGGCTCTAAAGCCCAGGGTTGTAACCTCTGTCCCATGCTGACCCCACATATGTGGCGCCCGCTGGTGGGGAGACCTTTCGGTTGCACCAGGAGCTGGTCTCTGAAGGCCATTCCCTCTCACAAGGTGCCTACCCATCTCCTCTGCTCCAGGGAAGGCCCAGGAGTCTGCAGATGACTGACCCTTTTTTCTCTTCTCCCAGAAAAGTCTTCCTCAATGTCATCGCTCAATATTGCGAAGCACACGCCCCATCGAGCCTACTGGGCAGAGCAGCAGAGCAGGGTTGGAGGGGCTGGGGAGACTGGGAGTTTCAGTGGGGTAGGGGATAGGCAAGTTGGGGGTTGCTGATAGGATATGGAAGTTGGGGGTGGTTGGCAGGGTGGAGGGGCGGGCAGGAAGGCTGGTGGGGGGTTGGGGGGCCACAGGGAGCAGGTGGGGGCATTTCAGCTGTGGGCAGAGATGACGTCCCCTGGACGCCTAAGCCTCTTGCTGCTTCTCCAGCTGCCGCTGCCCCTGATGGAACTCATGGAGAATGAAGCTCTGGAAATCCTCACCAAAGCCCTCCGGAGTGAGCTCCCCGCCAACCCCCAAGAGCTACCACGACAGATTCTGGTGGATTTTGCAGGGCTGGGGCCCAAGGGGTGGGGTTTCAGGGTGCCTTATGTCTTGTCAGATGCCCTTGGCACTCACAAGTATTCCAAGGGCCCCATAAAAGTTAAAAGCTGAGGGACTGGGCACAGGAAGAACCAGTGGGGGACATGTGGTGATGGGCAGAGGCCTGGGCTCCAGGCTGAGTGCAGGCCCTCTCTAGCTGAGGGAGGCTTTTCTGTGGCTGTTTCTCCACCTGCCCAGTGGGATAACCGCCTTGGTGTGGCCTCAACTCCCTCTGGTTGGGGAGCCTTTGGACAGTGGATTATGTGGGTGAATTTCTGCTGCTGGGGTAGGAAAGCCCAGTGGTGATAAAGGGCCAGCTGATGGCTTAGAGCGGGTGGCTGGTCCAGAAGGTGGCCAAACTGCTCGATACACCGCCCTAGTTCAGGCCTGCAACGTCTTCCCTAGCCTGGACCTTAACACTCAGCACCCTTAGAGATGCAAAGTTCCCCAGGCTAACAGAGACCTGAGTGCCCTGCGCTGCTGCTACCCCGAATCATCTGCGGTTCCTCGGACTACATATGGGGCGCCGCTGGTGGGGAGACCTTTCGGTTGCTCACTGCCCTGAGACGAGCTCTGCCCTCCTCCTAGGCTACCAGTTAGGGATCGGCAGGGACCACTTCCTGACTAAGGAGCTGCAGCGATACATCGAGGGGCTCAAGAAGCGCCGGAGCAAGAGGCTGTACGTGAATTAAAAACGCCACGTTGGGCTCCAGCAGCGACCCGAACCAGCCCTGTGCCTGCCCGGTCCCCAGACCCAAGCCCGAACCCATCCGAGTGGAATTTGAGTCCTAAAGAAATAAAAGAGTCTATGCATGGTCCGTGAGTCAGTGCATGGCAGCCCGCGTGAGGCGGACGCACGTGGCCCCGCCCTTCCCCGTGACCTTCATTCGGTCACCGCAGTGACCTTGAGCTTTCTCCGTCCGGGCCCTATCGGCCCTACCTTCCGGGACTCGCAATCCAGGGCTTCTTGCATGTTTTAAGTCGGCTTCACCCACCCCGAGTTCCGCAGCTCTGTGGGGCTACTGGGTCTACGGTTCGAGAGCCCAGTTGGTGTCGCTTTGGGGGAAGTGGCTAGGGGGAAGAGAGAAGGGGGAAGGGGGCAGCACCTCCCCCATCGCGACGGCGCGCTAGGCTCCGCCCCTCAAGCATAGGTAGCAGGTCCAGCCTCTCCACTCGTCCCGCCCTTGCGTTTTCATATGTAAGTGGTCTCTCGGCTCCGCGGTTGCAGCCTTCCACTCCTCGCGCGCACAGCGCGCCCCACCTCCTCCGTTACGAAAGAGCGCTTCTGGCCCCACTCGCTCCCGACTCTAATCCCCCAACCCTCCGCGTCTCCGGCCCCGCCCCTCCCAGGGGCCGCGTACGCATGTGCGCCGCAGTGGCTCGGCAGGCTGCGGGGCGGGACTTGCGCGAAGGCCCGCCCACTGGCGCTGCCGGCTCCGCCCCGACTCGTACGGGCGCGCAGGCGCCGCCCGCCCCGCTGGTCTGATTAGCATAGGACCCCGGGCCCCGCCCCCTGCTTTGCATGCGCACGGCCGGCCCCGCCCCCGCTGTCAGCTGGAGGAAGCGGAGTAGGAAGCGGCCGCGATGTCCTTTTGTGTCCTACAAGCAGCCGGCGGCGCCGCCGAGTGAGGGGACGCGGCGCGGTGGGGCGGCACGGCCCGAGGAGGCGGCGGAGGAGGGGCCGCCCGCGGCCCCCGGCTCACCCCGGCACTCCGGGCCGCTCGGCCCCCATGCCTGCCCGAACGCCCTGTCGGAGCCCCAGGTCCGGGGGCGGAGGGGAGCGCTGCCGCGGGGGGGGGGGGGGGGGGCGCGGGGGCCATGTGCGAGCGCGGCAGGGAGGCGGGCGGGGCGGGCTGCAGGCGGGGTCCGGCTCTGGGGCCAGTCCGGGCCACGGTTGGGACCCAGTCGACGGCCGGACTGGTCAGGGTTCAAGCGGGATCCGGCGTCTGAGTCCTGGTGGGCCGGCCTGGGGCAGGATCTGGCTCTGGCTACGGGTCCTGACCCGGGTCAGGGTTGGGCCTCCGATCCGGCCCGCCCCGGGGCAGGGTTCAATCCCCCACTTGCCGAAGTCCCTGGGGCTGGCCCGGGTGGAAGACGGGGAGGGCTCTGTGTCGGGGAAGGGGCTCTGAAGACCACGTGGGGGCGCTCGAAGGGGCCTGGGGCCACCCTCCTCTCTGGGTCAAAGGTCATCGCACCGGCAGGGGAGAACTTCCTCCTCCTTAGCTCTCCCCACTTACTTCCTGATAACCTGGTAGAGGTCTCCCGCGGGCGGGGTGGGGAGGCATAGCAACTTTAGGCAACTTCCCAGAGGTGTGCGCAGGTTGGGGGGGGTGGTACGCGGCGCCCCGGGAGGTGGCGGCCTCTGCGACAGTGGGAGTATAAGAGTGGACCTGCAGGCCGGTCTGGAGGAGGTGGAGCGGCACCCGCCGTGTGCCTGGAATCGGCATGCTGGGGCAGGAGGGCAGCCGCGTGTCAGGTGTGAAAAGCTCTGGCGGTGTTTTCATGAGTCCGTGCCTGTGCTTGTGGATGTGGGGACCTAGTGAGAGTGCGTGTGATCATGAGCCTTGATTGAGTTCGCAGATGGGGTGTGCGCTCCAGGAGAAGTATGTGAGCACAGGTGTGAGCAGGAGTGAGCACGGGTTTGGGAAGGCCGGTGCGAATGTGAAAACCCCCAGCAGAGAGCGAGCCTGCGTGGGCTTGTGGGGCCCCTGAGCACCTCGGTGAGTGGAGTGTGTGAACTCGGTGTGAGCACGTCCACTGGCCTTGGGTCTGGGCTTCAGTGCACGCTCTCCAATGCAGAATATCCACATGAGGGCAGGGTCTCAGAGGTCCCCCCAACATCTGGAGAAAACTGGGAAGTATCCTGCCCCTGTCTAGGGATTCCAGGTGGGGTTGAAGGTTGCCTGGGGGCTACGGTTACCCTGCTCCCTGGACTGGGTGGGAGTAGGGCCTTTCTAAGCCTCCCCCAGGTTCCCAAGGGAGAGACCAGCTGTCAGTTACTGGCCCTGAAGACTCTGTTTCCATGGCAACAGCTGGGAGCGGGGCAGTGTTACTGGGCAGTCCTTCTTTGGACTCTGCCCCCATTCCTCCCCCCTTGCTGGGCCTGGAAGCCTGGCCCTAGGCCCGAGGTTGGGCAACCCGTGTGGCAGGGTGTCGCCCATCCCCCATCCCAGTGCCTCCCTAGGAACCCACGGGTCTCTCCCTGCAGGTGACCAGCGCCATGTCCAGCCAGGTGGTGGGCATTGAGCCTCTCTACATCAAGGCAGAACCGGCCAGCCCCGACAGTCCAAAGGGTTCTTCAGAGACGGAGACCGAGCCTCCTGTGGCACTGGCCCCTGGTCCAGCTCCCACCCGCTGCCTCCCAGGCCATAAGGAAGAGGAGGATGGGGAGGGGGCTGGGCCTGGCGAGCAGGGCGGTGGGAAGCTGGTGCTCAGCTCCCTGCCCAAGCGCCTCTGCCTGGTCTGTGGGGACGTGGCCTCTGGCTATCACTATGGTGTGGCATCCTGTGAGGCCTGCAAAGCCTTCTTCAAGAGGACCATCCAGGGTGAGCCCCCAGCCCACTCCCCTGCCCTTTGCCCTGCACCCTCTGGGTGCAATAGGCCCCCAGATGGCTGTGGCACCACTTGAGGCTGGCAATCTGGTGTTTCCAGGGTCTCTACCTCCCAGAGACACCCTTTCCCTGAGAAGTATGGTAAACGCACTGGGTGTACTGATGCATTGCAATGGATGTGAGTGAGCTCAGGGTACCACCTGGGTACTCTAGGCCCAGCACCTTCTACAGTGGCTCTGAAAGAGTCCAAGGCAGCCTCTGTTCCTAAGCTTTGTTCTTGCTTCTGGCAGCTTTTCACCTCTCCCCAGCATAGAACATGTCCCCTTTTTCTTAATTTTCCCAAAGCAGCACCAACACAAGGCAGATTTTAAATTTTTTTTTTTTTTTTTAAGACAGAGTCTCACTCTGTTGCTCAGGCTAGAGTGCAGTGGCACGATCTCTGCTCACTGCAACCTCTGCCTCTGGGTTCAAGAGATTCTCCTGCCTCAGCCTCCTGAGTAGCTGGTAATACAGGTGTGCACCACCACGCCCAGCTAATTTTTGTGCTTTTTTTTTTTTTGAGACACAGTCTTGCTCTGTCACCCAGGCTGGAGTGCAGTGTTGCAATCTCGGCTCACTGCAAGCTCCGCCTCCCGGGTTCACGCCATTCTCCTGCCTCAGCCTCCCGAGTAGCTGGGACTACAGGCGCCCACCACCATGCCTGGCTAATTTTTTTTTTTTTTTGTATTTGTAGTAGAGATAGGGTTTCACTATGTTAGCCAGGATGGTCTTGATCTCCTGACCTTGTGATCCACCTGCCTTGGCCTCCCAAAGTGCTGGGATTACAGACGTGAGCCACCGCGCCCGGCCAATTTTTGTATTTTTAGGAGAGACAACATTTAACTATGTTGGCCAGGCTGGTCTTGAACTCCTGACCTCAAATGATCCACCTACCTTGGCCTCCCAAAACAAGGCAGATTTTTATCAGTGCTTGAGAGGGGCTACATCATAGTTTAGCACCCAACTTTAAAAAGACTAACAGGCGAGGCTGGACATGGTTGCTCACACCTATAATCCCAGCACTTTGGGAGGCCAAGGTGGGTGGATCACCTCAGGTCAGGAGATTGAGACCAGCCTGGCCAGCGTGGTGAAACCCCATCTCTACTAAAAATGCAAAAAATTAGCTAGGCACGGTGGCTCGCACTTGTAATCCCAGCTACTTGAGAGGTTGAGGCAGGAGAATTGCTTGAACCCAGGAGGCGGAGGTTGCAGTGAGCCGAGATCACACCACTGCACTCCAGCCTGGGTGACAGAGCGAGATTCCGTCTCGGGGAAAAAAAAAAAAGTTGGGCTTGGTGGCTCATGGTCTGTAATCCCCGTACTTCCAGCACTTTGGGAGGCCAAGGCGGGCAGATCACGAGGTCAGGAGTTCGAGACCAGCCTGACCAACATGGTAAAACCCCGTCTCTACTAAAAATACAAAAATTAGCCGGGTGTGGTGGTGAGTGCCTGTAATCCCAGCTACTTGGGAGGCTGAGGCGGGAGAATCGCTTGAACCTGGGAGGCAGAGGTTGCAGTGAGCTGAGATTGTGCCACAGTGTTCTAGCCTGGGCAACAGAGTGAGACTCACGTCTCCAAAAAAAAAAAAAAAAAAAAAAAAAAAAAAGACAGGCATCTCTGCTCTTAAAAGTCACTAATTTTTTTCTCACTCAGGAAAGCTTATCAGAATTCGGGGGAATGAGCAAGATGCTGACGTAAGCATTGCCTGGGAAGCACCTATTATTTCCATTATTTCTGCTTTTATGTAACCATTGGTTACTTTGGGGGCCATAATACGTATAATTAAAAAAAAAAAAAGGCCAGGCATGGTGGCTCCCACCTTTAATCCCAGCACTTTCAGAGGCTGAAATGGGAGGATAATAAGGTCAGGAGTTTGAGACCAGCCTGGCCAACATGGTGAAACCCTGTCTCTACTAAAAATACAAAAATTAGCCAGGCGTGGTGGTGGGTACCTGTAGTCCCAGCTACTCAGGAGGCTGAGGCAGGATAATCGCTGGAACCCAGGAGGCGGAGGTTGGAGTGAGCTAAGATCGTGTCACTGCACTCCCAGCCTGGGCGACAGGGTGAGAGTTCGTCTCAAAAAAAAAAAAAGTCTTGAGTGCTTACCTTGTGCTAGGTACTATGTTCTTTTATGATCTCAGTTAGTCCCCATAGCAACCCTCTAAGGTGTCAGTACTGTTATAAGTGAGACTAAGAGAGGCATTTGAAACTTTGTTGAAGTCTCACA